TGATTAAGAGATATAGTAGATTGACAAAGTATAGTTAAGTATTTAAATCAATTGTTTTTAGAAGTAAAACTAGTGTAGTATTTATTATAATAGCAGATACTAATAGAGGGTTGCAAAAAAACTAAAAAAAAATATTGTTGTTTAGAGAGGTTGTATATTTAGATTTGAAGGCAGGTTGGAGGACTTTAAATTATTTAGCTTTAGTTTTAATAATTCTTAGTCTTAAATGATTTCTATAACTAGAATGATAATAATTTAATTTATATTAAATTCTTCATATCTAAGACTAGGCATATTGAAAATTCAATTGATTTAGAGAAGTGACAAATAAAATATAATAAATAAAAGATGTAACAAATAAGGGTGTAACAAATAAGAATATAATAGATAATAAAATGTAATATTTAAGATATTACCCAATATACTAATTAAAAGATCGATAAGATTAATAAAATGCAAAAATTGTATAAATTAATTAGAACTAAAAATAGTATATTAAAAATTTTATAAAAATAGAAATAACAAAAGTTAATGTTTTATCAATTGATTAGTAATTTTAATTACTAATGAGAATTAGTAAGTTTGGGTGTCCTGAAGAAGCAGAATTACCCAAAAAATAGAAAAACTTTTTGCAAAAATTTGGTATATTTTTGTAATAAAGTTTTAAAATATTTTGATAATTAGTTTTTATTTGTATAAAATGTTTAATATATCAAAATAAAACTATTATTGTGCTCAATCTTTTTGTATTAAGAAGAAGGTAGCTTTACTTATTCAAATTTTTATAAATAAGTCAAAATAAAATTTTATAAGATTAGATATAAATGAACTTTGATGATATAAAACTAGACTATTTATATATAAAATTTTACTAAAAACAATTTTACTTAGATAGCCAAAATGTGTTTATTTAGTAAATTATTAAGAAAAGTGTAATTGTCTTTAAAGAAAACTTAGTACAAGTAATTATCAGAAAGAGTTAGTGATTTATATAAAATTTTATACTGTCTATTTATATATTGTTTACTAATGATTAATAAATAACAATATTGTAAAACTTTATATCAAGTTTGAGCATAAAAAAAGTATAATAATTAATAAAATTTACAAAGTTTTATACTAATTATTCTAGAATTCAATATCCAAACTTAGTATAATCTCTAACTGTAATAATTTTTTATATAAGATTTCTATATATTCAAAAATAACAAATTACAATATCTAATTAGAAACATATGTTCAATTTTAATTGAACATATTGGATCTTTGTTAAAAAATCACCTTCAATATTTTCTAATTAGGCTAATTCAGACAAAGTTAAACCAATATACCAGTATTTATTTGTAGATAAATATTTTTACTTTAATGATTCAAGTACAGTCTAACCTCCCAATAATCACACACTTTGGGACAAAGATTTGTGTGATTGTAAAAAGAATTTTATTAAGATGTGTTTATAAAAAGGTTTTTTTTTATATGTTTATAATAGTTGACTTTAGAATAAATGTGCTTATAAAGAGAATTTTTATATAGAAGGTGACTATAGGGAGGTTTGACTGTATTTATTCTATAAGCTATTGAATCAATGAAGGCAAAAAAATGATTTATATATAAATAAAAACTGGTATGTTGGTTTAAAATGTTATAAATCATCCTGATCAGAAAATATTGAAGGGTAATTTTCCTAGCAAAAATCTCATGAATCGACCAGAGCAGCCCCCAATGTGCCGATCCATAGCACAGCCGCAGCATATAAATAAAATTAATGATAAGCCTTAAAACTATTAATCAGTACAATTGTTTATTAAGTTGTTTGAGATTTAATACTGATTGTTTATACGACACAATATGATTGGTAAATTAGTAGCTGTGGCTATGGCTGCGCCATTGATCTGCACTATGGGGCCGATTCAGATCCAGTGTTTAAAATCTATATGCGGAATCTGTGGTGTGCAGATTGAAAATTAATTCTGCAAGTGAAATTTTCTTAGAATCTGCAGATTTTATGTAACACATCTATTTTTGAATTTTTATTATGTTTACAAAAATTATTAAGCTTTTCCGCATAATGAAACAAAATCGAATTTTAAACACTGTTCAGATCCCATATGTCCAAAAAAATTGAAACCAATTGGACATTGTGTGACGTTCCATCCCTGTACGTACGTACGTACAATTTATTGCAGTTTTATCATTCACAAAAAATTGGTATCATCCCATTATGTATAAACCAATTTGCATATCGATTCACGTAAATTCTCGGGATCGATTATACAGATTTTTAGAAACCATGCCTGGTAAGCACGTAATAAACCAAAACTCGAAATCTTTTGGCAATATTAATATCGATCTATCAGTGTTTTAAGGACGTTCTCAAGTGCCTTAATCAATGGGTCAAAAAGTGTCGGTGAATAGATTTATTAGCAAAAAATGTTTTAAACGACCAAGTGTATTTGTCATTGTGATAAATATTTAAATGATAATAATAATTTGATAAAGTTTATTATGTTAAAAATATTTTATTAGTAAAAACACACACACACATATATATATATTAAATTTGTCAATTTACAAATTTTCTACTGCAAATAATTTTTTTATACCGGCTTGGAAAAATATGCTATTTAGTATTTAGGGAGATCACTCAAATACTTCGTCATGGATTCAAACTATAATTATTATTTTATCTCTTATAACCACATTTACAGGTGTTATCTCTGAACTATATTGTATTTGAATGTTTAAGCAGTTTATACTGATTTATAGCAATTTAACAAGATTATACTTAAAATATAAGTGATCCAATTTTGGTTCTAAATTATGCGCAGTTGAAGAGAATAAATTTATATATTTGCAACTAATAAAAAAAAATACGCATACCCCTATATTTTTTTTTATTCCTTACATGCGAAAAAATTTAGATTCATTATTGCACAAATCCCACGCCAAACGAGAAAAAACAACAGAATCACAGTTAAAAAATTTTACTGTTTGATCATGTAATGAAATGGTACAGGTTTTCTGCTAAAATGCGATTAATTTTCCGGCAAAAACACCAAGACCAAGGATGGAATTAATCAGGGTTACTAAAGCCGTACGGCCAAGAGACATTGCACCACCGCGCAGTCTTTGCCACCATGATTTATCTGTTGGATTGAGGCCTGCATGGTTTATTAAATAACAAGTCAATTATTAGTCTTATAAAATAACAAATAAAATAAAGCTTTCTCCTAACTCACCAAGTCTTTTTCTACGAGCTTCTTCATAATCCCGCTTAGGCAGTAATCCTTTTTTATAGCAACGTTTGAGTTCAGTGAGATCATCTTCAAGTCTACCCATATTTCTGTTTTTACAGGTTATAGAAATATGTCTTGTACTATATTAAGAATACGGAAACTTTAATAAGATTCAGAGTTTGATTTTTGAAGTTTCGAAGAAGTTTATCGTGCGAGCTAAAAGTATTTGATTAAAAGGATACAAAGTTAAATTTCTGCCTATTCAGTCTTATTTAAAAGGTGTGACTGATGCGAATGTCTTTCTTGCACGTACGTACGTACAGTGCAAGGTATCTAAAAACATAATCTCCTTATAGAGACAAATATGCATATTGAAATTAGATATTCTAAATTATTAGCAATGAAGTGTGCACGGAAATATCTTATTTGAATTAGGAAATTAAACAATGGATGAAACATTTAAAACTTATATTCACTTCATGTAACGTATAACCAAGTACCACAATTTAGATTATACATGAGTGTCGCCAAATGAAAATGACATTCCAAAAAATATAGATTTTTAGAACGAGTTTACTAAAACGCACTACTGGTACTTTAAATGCAGTGTACGTCATAACATAAATTTGTTTGTTTTTTTAAAAAAATTGCATGTTTTTATTATTTCTATCATGCTATACTACATGTGGTGTTAAATACCAATGGTGTGCTATAGTATTGTTGTTTCAAATGTACATTCTCACCTGACGACACTCATGTGTAATCTAAATATTGTGCTACTTGCGTACGTACGTACGTAGCATAAAGTGATTATAATTTTTAAAATTTTCACTTGTTTTTTCATGTATCGAAATTAAATATTTTCTTAAATTATCGACTTTAAATGAGGCATCTTTACTAATAATTTAGGAAATATTGGATTTTATTATGCAAATTATTTACAATTTGATATCCTTTTTTTCTATAAGGAGATTGTGGTTTTTTAGATTTCTTTCGTCAATCTGCATAATACATATCACAAAATATACTTTCTTATAGTAAACAAATATGCATGGTACACCTGCATGATGTATCTGGGAGTCAAGTCCATAAAAATTACCTTTAAAAGGTAATAAGAGTTTACATGCTGGAATTTCTAGATTTCTTTTTTACCTTTTTTTGTACGAGTAGGCCACTTGAAGCCATAGTTGATAGCTCAAAAAAAACCCCCCGTGGTAGCTCACCCACAAAAATTCCAGGAACGTGATTTTTAGCCAATTAAAAACAATCAAATTAAGTGAAAGATTTATTCCACCTTTAGGATTTGGATTAAGGCCAAGGAAGGGGCATAGGTTATACCAAAATTTCGCAAGGATTTTTTTTTTTTTTGTTAGAACGCAAAGGGCAATTTCATTGACAAAAATGCAAAAATGCGTGATTTTTACGTTAACCTGGTCCTTCGATCTAATTGGCTAAAAATAATGTCCCAGAAAAACAAACATGTCTGGTAACTTTGTTGATCACATATATAAATATACATACAAACTCGAAAAATTGTCACTAAAAATGGATCTCGATTCAAAATTAACAGAGGCCAAACGACAATTCGAGTCTGGCGAAATCAATGAGGATGAGTTTAAGGAGCGTAAAAAATTGATCCTAGAAAAATGGTTAGACCAATCGAAGGAAACCAACCAACTTGAACATTCTCATGGTAAGTGTCACCTCCCTTGTTACAATACAACGTAAAAACGCTTATCTCGTCATTGCTATAAATCAAAAGAAACAGACTTGTATACGGTTCTCCAATTGACGCCCAGAGCTACTGAAAATGAAATTAAATCAAGTTACAGGAAACTTGCTCTGAAGTATCATCCTGATAAGAATGGCGGTGTTGAAACTGAAGAGGTGAGCATCAGATTCTGATCTCCTTAACTATCATTCATATACTGTATTAACTTAACGTTCTATTTACAGTGGACTAAAATTTCAAAGGCATACCAAATCCTCTCAGAAAAAAACAGTCGCGATCTTTACGATAACTGCGGAACAGTCAGCAGCGGTAGGTTTCAACCTTTTTTGTATTTAATAATTTTCATTTCTCTTGATTCATTTAATTTGAATTCATTTTAGTCTTTACAGATAAAGCATCGTTCAACTGCTATGTAGGAGGAGACCTTTGGAAACCCTATATCGGTGACCTGGAAATTGGTCTCTGGATACACTCATTTGATAGCAATAATAGTTCACCCGAATTAGAACATGTAACCTCGGTTGAGCAAAAAGAACGTCGCCATGTCATTCGTGTTTCCAACATTATTCGTCACCTACAAGACAAACTTTCTCAATTCCCGGAGCAAGATAATCCTTCAGAGTTTGAACCGTTTAAGCAAAGTCTTTACAGAGAAGCCCAGAAACTTCTTGCGGAACCTAACGGCAAAGAATTATTATCCTTACTAGGCGAAATTTACATTTCTGAGGCCAAAACCCATCAAAGCAGTTCCTCTAGAAATATATTCTCTAAAAACATGTTCTCTAATCTTTTTAATGGTTTCATATTTACTTGGGATTTAATTAATGGAGTCATAACAAACAAGACTAATAATGGTTCAGGAGAGGAGGCAAAAAGAATAAAAGTTGCCTGGAGACTTTCGCGATCGGAAATATCTTCTATTACGTATGAAGCCTGTAAGAAAGTTCTCAATAACACGGAATATAGTATGGATAAACGCAATAATCTCGCAAATTCATTATATCTCTTGGGCAAATTGTGGGTAGAATGTGCAAATACAGTAGTAGAATGAAACTTTGATCTTTATATTTTAATATTCAGTTTTTTTAAACCTGAAATCATTGTATGATTACGTCTACAAAGTAAATAAAATAATAATGCAAAATTTACTTGTAAAATATAACACAACCCTAACCTCTAACTACTAGAACGGGGATGGTCATTACCGGTAATACATAGCAATTTCCTTTTTTATTTCACATGATGATTCTTATTTGATGTTTATTAGGCCACGCGAAGTTGATTTTTCGTTTTGCATTACCCGCCGACCAATTTTTTCCAAATTTTCAATTTCTTTTTTTTCTTAAGCCCCAATTGTGCCAATTATTTTATTTGCCATTTAAAATTTTTCTATAAATTAATCCGGTATCACCCGATAGCGACGACCCTATTTCCCGAAATTATCGGATAAAAAAAAAATTTGACTGCTAACCAATTTTCTGATTCCATGTTATACAAAGCGAAAAACCAACTTTGTGCGGCCTTTGATGTGAACAATGAGCCCATTAACTTACTGTAATTAAAAAAATCCGACCGACCGGGAATTTTGAAATCCATGTAATGCAAATCGAAAAATAAACTTTGCGTGGCCTTACAGTCTGACGATTTACCAAATTTGGGGGTCGCTTAAAGCAGGTGCAGTCATATAATTTTGGGCTTTTATTAAATTTAGGGTTAGTCGGAGGCTAGGGCTAGGGCAGGTCTTAGAGTAAAATCGACTTCCAACATTTTTAGTTAATGCCCCAGGGTACTCTTTTCTTGTATTTTTTCGTTTTTTTTCTTTTTTTTCTTTGTCGGACTGTTCTGGATTGATCAAAACGAACAAGTTGATTGGCCATATATCACATAATTGAACCCTCCTTTGAACGACCCCAATATGGGCTGTATTGATTATACTCTTTATAATATGAAATTGTCGATCAGATAGATGGTCTAGGCATTTTAGTTAAACATCAATAATAGGATATTCTATAGAATAGGTGGGCAATATAAGAAATAAGCTTCGCTAATGATTAGTAATCATTAATTTTTTAATAGCGGAGTTGCGGAGTTTGTGGAGTTTGCCCACCTATTCTATAGAACATCCATTTTTTTATATTATTAATTAATAAGTTATCAAAAAAAATTGTATTTTAAATTGTTAATTTTTACAAATCTTTAGTATACTACCAGTAGTACACTATTTAAAAAAAATTTTAATCCTAAAAAAAGCTATTATTAGTTATATCATAAAAAATATAACTTATATTATAAGCTTTGTTTTATAATTATTACTATTTTAGTAATTTATATAATCTTTATAATTTTTAACCATAATTTAAAAAATTTTTATTAAATAAATATTTTTAATTTTTAATAAAAGTTGTAAATAATAGCTATTTAATTATAATTTTAAAATTTTTAAGTTTAAATTAGTTTATCTTAAATTATATTACTTTAAATATTAAAAAATTATACTTATTTTTTTTTTAAGATGAGGTTTTGCCTTTATCTTTATTAATATTTTGTATTGAGAATCTACTATAGATTTCTCTGGCCAGAGCTAATTTATAAAAATTTTTACAAGAATGAGACTCAGACTACCAGAAACTATCTAAACTAGAAATTCTAATTCATCTAAAACCTAACCTACTAGAGTGGTTAAAACTCACCTAGATTTGATAATGTAAAATATTGTTAGTTGGGATGCTATATTTGATTCAAGTTATAGTCCTTAGAGATATTTTTCTAATTGCTTTTCCAAGAGGTAGACAAGTATTGTCATTATGTTGTTAGTCTGATAAGCTGAATTATACTTATTTTTTAATATAGTATTTAAAAATTTAAAAATAAGTTAATATAATATTTACTAGTAAAATTTTAATTTTAAATAACTTTTATTTATTAATCTTATCTTAATAAAAATTTTATAATTAAAATTAACAAACTTATATTTGTAATTTTTATTAATACTTAATTAAATTTATTTAATAAAAATTTTTATAAACAAAAATAGTTTATTAGATAACTAATAAATACTATATAAAATTAGGTTAATCTAAAATGTTTAGATTAAAAAAAATTCTATAAAATTTTAAATATTTAATATTATAAAAACAATTGATTTACAAATTTGAATATTTAAAATATTCTAAAAACATTTTTATAAAAATTATTAATATATTAATAAACTATTTATTTAGTCTTAAAAATGTCATAATGTAATATAATTAATAGATTAAATGTAGTATAGCTTATTCCTTAATAAAATCTTTAAAAATATTTAAGTAAATTACTTTATATTATAATTGAAAGTTTTAAATTAGTTTTTTAATATTAATTAAAATATTAATTACAATATAAATATAATAAAATAACAAATAATATAAAATGCATTATAGTGTTTATGGTGTTAATAATTTTTTAGCTAAAATTTAGTATTAGAGTGCAACTTTAGAGTAAAATAGAGGTCAGATATAAAGGTCCAAATTTTAATTAATATAAGGTTTTTAGAGGTTCTGAACATTTTTATTTAGTACTCCTGAGAGGTATTAGCTAGTATATTTTTGAGATATAGCCAATTATAGTATTTAACACTATAGGTGCATTTTAGTAATGTTGTAAAATAACTAATAAAATAACGAATTTTAATATATTTTTTAAAAGAGTAAACTATACTATATTTAATCCTAATTAACTACTAGTAATATAGCAAAATTCTATTTATTAATAATAAATCTATTTTTTAATTAAAAAATATACCAACACAGTATATTTCTATTATTAGTACAGTAAATAATTAATATTAATATATCAATATATTTTTATTTCTTGAAAATTTGAATGAAGATATCTCATTAGCTCCTAAAATAAATTTAATAAATTTTTTATTTTAAATTTTATATGCTTTTAGAATTAAAATAATAAGTTCTTGAAATTATTTTAATAATTGTTGAGATCTTTTTATTTAAATTTGATAAAAAATTAAGATAATAACTAATTTTTATCTGTAGTAATATTATATGATATATAATAAATTTTATAATAGCTGATTTATAAATTAGTAGAATATGTGATAAAATTTTGTCAATTAATAATAAATATTTGTTAATAAAATTTACTAAAATTTTTTGTATTAATTAGTAATTATGCTTTTTGGTTACAATACAATTTTTAGTATATTTCTTAGAGATAACAATAATATTTAATAATACAAACACAATATTACAATATTTATTCTTATTTAGTTATTACTTTAACACTTGTTTTATCTGTTCAGTATATTTTGTATTCTTAAAGATTTATAGTAAAAACTGTCTTTATTAATTATAAAGCTTAATCAAAAAAGCAAAAGCAGTGAATATTAATATAGTTTTATAATAAATATATTGTATGCACAGGAGCTAACAAACAAAAAAAATATAATCAAGAATTTATAAATTAGTTTCAAAGCAATATATCTAAAGTTGAAATTTTTGATTAAAACTTTGTAAATATCTGTTTGAAGTATATAAAATAATTTAAAGATAGTAATTTATTATAAGCTTATATGATTTAATATATATATATTATAATACATCTACCTAATTGACTAATTAGATTATCATCATTAGAATCAACTCTTTTCACTGATCATCAAAACACAAATTTTCCGAAATACAAAATTAATAAAAACTATGAAAGACACAAAAAGCTACTAAAAAACAAATTTCGGAGCTCTAAGAAAAGAAGAAAAGGACTACAAGAAACACTTAGTCTCTTAGAAGACTTGAGTAAAAGAAACAGAAGTAGCAAAGAAATAAAAGAAGTCATGAAAAGTCGTCAATATTTTTTTGCACTTTGCGAATTTTTGGGGAATCGGCCTTGACCCTGAATTGCAGATCTGTTTTGGTAGTACAAGA